CCTACACCCTAAAACCCTAAACCCAGATTATTTGGGTCCTTGGACCCTTAGGGTAGAAGGAGTCCAGCCGGGTCACTTGGGGCTGCCGGGCACCGAAGCGGCCTTCGGAAGGCTCAGCTGGAGGTCTCGGACCAGGGGCCTGGGCATTTAAGGCTGTTTAGGGTTTAGGGTTTTAGGGTTTCGGATTTAGAGTGTATAGGCTTTAGGTTTTAGGGCTTAAGCTTTATAGGGCTTAGGGTTTTTGAGGCTGGGGGAAGGTTTGGGGTTTAAGGCGGCTTTTGGAGGGGATTTGTGGGCTCAAGGGCATAAGGATGTTCAGGTGTTTGGGCTCTTAGGGGCTTTCGGCTTCACAGCTTAGGAATTAAGGTGTCAGGCGGGGAGTTTAGGGTTCAAGAGTTTGAGGATTGCGGAGGGCTTGAGGCTTTAGGGACCATCAGAAGTCAGATGCTTTCTTCTTTCGAGTTTGGAGGTCAGGGTTCACAGCTAAGGTCAAGAGCTCATGGCTCCAGATTTGGGGGGGGGTTAGGGCTTGAGGGTGTCGATTTGTCTGATTGTCTCCAGAAGCGGCGGAAGGAAAACGACAAGAAATAACAACAATAACACACAGGACCCGCGGTCAAAAGCATGATAAGGTTGGCTGCTGCTGAAGAAGACAAGATACAACAATCCACCGCCGCTTCAGCAGCAGTCGTAGTACTAATATTTCTACTGAGCATCTTCCTTCTGATGCAACTGCTTGTCTATCACTTTGCCAAGCACAGTTTCGCTGATAATCTTGCAGCCCAGGGTCAGGAAGGGGTTGCTCTGTCCCCGCAAGCGGCGTCCAGCGCCGGCTTTTCCACAGGCTGGCACGGGGCCGCAGGCACTACCACAAGTACTGCCACAAGTGGCACCGCAAGCACCACCGCAGGCGGCGCCGCAAGTGGCAGCGCAGCCGCCACAGGCAGTGCCGCAGGCACCGCAGCCTCCGCCGCAGGCGGCACCGCATGCGGTGCCGCAGGCTACGCCTCCAGGATTCTTGCAGTCACTGAGATCCACACCTGGATGGTAGCCTTGGTATCTGCAGCCAACAAGCCTTTTGCACTGTTGCCTTTCTCTATCTATTGGGGCCACGATTGCATAGAATGCCGATGGTTTGTATGCAGGACACAGGCAAGAGCATGGAATAACAGACAGACAGATAGATAGAGAGAGAGAGAGAGAGAAAGACAGACACACAGAGACAGAAAGGAAGACAGAGACAACGAGAGAAAGTAATTGAATCTACCTGCAGCTAGTTTTGGGTACGAGCAACTTGCGTTGCGGACAAGCTGCTACATGGATAAAGAGCTGAGAAGGGTAACAAACGAGTGGAGCTAGTCGGTCTGACCGCCAACACCAAGAACGTACACGTCCCCAAAAGCAACGTGCACTGGATCCTAACGAACGATAGCTCTGCAAAACCATCTGGAGTACCTAAGCCGCAAAAGTATGTAAAATAATTGCCTTTATGGCTGTTATTCTGGGTTTAGGGCTATTATTTTAAATACATTTGGGGTTAAGGTAAAGGCCTTCATAGTTTTCAAGACTCCCTGATCTGCAGAGCCTGTTCGTATCTTGTTCCTTCCAATGCGGCTGCCAGGCAGCCAAAAGTGAACACGTCGGTCCCGTCCATTTTTGGTTTCTCCTTGCAGCTTCTTACTTGAGTAGGGTTGAGGGTTTAGGGTTTAGGGTTTTAGAGTTTAGGGTTTGGGGTTTAGGGTCTTAGAGTTTAGGAATGTTTAGGGTTTACAGTGTTTTTTTGGTAGTTAAACCTAGTAACATAATATTTCTTATATAAAATACCATACCCCAAAAGGAGGATAGAATCTTACTCTATATTGGGCACCATAGTATCCCCAAATAAAATACTGCTCACTTTGGGCTCAGGGTTTAGGGTTTGAGGGGGTACTGGACCCCACCCAGTAACAGTGTAGAATAAGGGTCTACACAACATGAAGCCCTTCCAGGGCTCCAAAGGGGTCTTTTGCAATCCCCACATATCACCAGAATTCCTGGATGCCACTTTTTCAGATTTGGGTCCTTGGACCTTAGGGTAGGTTTAGGGTTTAGGGTTTAGGGTTTAGGCACCTGCCTATCGTGTTTGTTTAGTCTTAGAGCCGCCTGACTGTACTCTTCTGGCACCATAGACTACAACCCTAAAAAGATTGTGCTCTTACTCTAATACTCTATAATAATTATTGTGGACCCTAGCATCCCCCCACAAAATCCTAACCCTAAGCCTTGAACCATAAATCCTAGATCCAAAACCCTAAATCCTAAACTCTCAATCCCTTCGACCCGAAACAATAAGCCCTGCCGCTTGCTCCCACTATGGGCTATTAGACCCTAATATATTAGGTCCCTATTAAGGGTAGATTAAGGTACCCTTAAGGTCTAATAGCCCATAGTGGTCTGTAGGTTCCCCTGGAGCCAACGAGTTTCGGCGTTGAAACCGAGGCCGCACCACTTCGTGTCCGGGCAGTCGGCCTACACCAATTCTTTGATATGGGGTTTATAGGGACCTCAGGATTATGTAGGCGTTCTGGGGACATTATGGGACTATTTAGTGTTTAGGGTTTGGGGGTAGAGGTGTAGGGTTTAGGTTTAGGGTCGGGCGTTTCAGGGTTTGGGGCCCAGGATTCTGAAACATGCCGCATTACGCTAGCACACTAGCCCGCAGGGGATGAGGTACGAGGCTCAGGGTTTAGGGGTTTGGGGGTTTAGGGTTTAGGGGTTTAGGGTTTAGGATATTAACGATAGCTCCGGCAAGAGCATATTTGATGCAGAAAAGGGAAGCAGCTAAATAACGGAGTCTTTGCCATGTCCTGTCGCAGTCCTGCTGGACTATCATAAATTTTATGGGCCCCGAAAATTGCGAACATCATTTTGAGGTTTACCTGAGGCACCCAACGCCATAATTACGCCAGAAAGCCAGAACCATGAATAATTTTGATAGTGATTTGAGGGCTTCGTGTTCTGGAATTCCACTATACTTAGCCCACATTACCCTAGGAAGAAAAAGGATCCTGTATACCTACATATGAGCTGTAGTCTAAACTCCTAGTATCCCCCTTTATATCCCCTACAGTAGTCCCCTATATAATCCCCTATATAACCCCCCTTTAAGGAGTTTAGACGATAGCTCATATAATGAATCCCATGCACCAAAAAGTATGAAGGATCCCTAACATTGATCCAATATAGAGGTGCACCCTAAACCCAAAACCCTAAGCCCTAAATCCTGCACTCTAAAACCCTAAGCCCTGAATCCCA